TACTATGCTTTGTGTTCTATAATATTTAGCCAAGCTTGCGAACTCTCACATAACCACCTAATAAACACATAAAATATCAAATTAATGATTAAGATAATAATTTTAAATAGTTATATAATATTTGTATAATATGTCAATATAATAATTTCTAATTTTATTAAAAAATATAAAAAAGATATTGTGCAAAATCAAAAAATCAATTTAAAATCAAAATGAATTCAGAATTTATCTTTTAACAAAATTTTTGAAACTTACTTATTATTACATTTATAAATTTATTTATTTTTATCTTCAATGTCATTTTAACCTAAAAATTTCCCTTTCTTAACAACATTTCGCTTCTATATATATAAATATATATATATATATATATATATATTAAAAAGAGATATGAATAGAAATTCTCCCCAAAATTAAATCCACAATGCGGTGCGTTTTGGTGTGCTGGCAGCCTAAGCCTAGCTTCTTCTTCCCCATCCTTTCCCTCCCCATCTCATCAGTCTCACATCACACTCCGTTAGCTTTTCATTCAGGAGGGACTTACCGGAGTCATCGCTTCGGATCAGATATCGTCGGCGTCGCTCTCTCGTCGGCCATACAAGTGAAGACTTGGTACGATCTGTTTATACTTCCATACGAACCTGGGAATTCCGAAATGAAGAGGAGATTTCTTGCAACAGATACTTTTTCTTTTTCTCTTTGTTTCACATTCTCACCTTCTTTAGTTTATAGTTAGGCTTTTATTACCCAAATTATTGTGTTTTATTTTCTTCTTTCTTCCCTTATCTGGAGCATGGCCTGCGTGCTATCTTCTTGCTCTGGTAACTATTTATTTTTTGGCTCTTGCCCTCTGTAATTCAGATTATTCACAGTAAAATGAGAGTATTTTTCCTTGAAATTTTACCTTCATCGGTAACATAAGTAGAGATAACTGTACATATATCAGAATTGGGCATAAATTATGCAAACTTGCCTTCTGAAAACCGTTATTTTCTGCTATGGTACCATGGACAACTAATGAGATGTTAAATGTTGTGATCTGCACTCAACAGAAATTCAACAATCAGTGGATAACAATAATGGGTGTATGAGTAATTACTTAACTACCACTTTTAAAAATATTATAAACAGAAAAGCATTAAAATTAAAATATTATAAAAAGAAAAGCATTAACACTTGATATTGAACCAGAGATCTCTTCAAACAAGGCTAAAATAGCAGCTACATCTTTGCTACTGAACCTAGCAAGACCAACGCAACTCAGCATTTAGAAGACATGTTTTGCAGCTTTGCTGACAATAATCAAAACATGTCTATTGACAAAGATGCATAAAATAAGCTAATTCACGTGCTAGTTTCATCCCAAGAAAAGGGATATGCTATGAAAGAATGGAAGGATTGTAGTTCCCTCAGGCCTTTCTCCCATACTTGTTTTCTCAAAACTCAAAACATGGAAAAAGAAAAAAACATGTACTAGTTGTCATTCAGTTTGAAGTTTAATATTTCTACATTTCATAATAGGTAGACATGAGTTCAATTATTCCCTCCATTAAGTGATCATTGATCAAAACAATATTACCCATGTGAACAAAGCAAGATTTCCAAAATAACTGAACTAACCATATCCTTTGAAATCTCCCATGGTTGGGTCTTATATTCCATGCCCCTCTCGCCGCGGAACATGGAACATTTGCAGGGTTCACGGGGACCCTTATGAGGCTGAATTGGAAAACCAGAATAATGAGTTACCTTGACAAAATTGGAAATGAAAAAATAAATCTATGTACTACTTCTTCCATTTTAAATATAAGACTCTTTTTATAATGTAATTTATACTACAAAAGGGTCCTATATTTATGACTGGAGGAGTATTATTTAGGCACATAATATCATATTTATTATTTAAATTTAAAATTTGGATCGCTTAAAAATTTTAACTCATGATTAATTATTTTTATTTTTATTTAATGGTTGAATTTTTTCAATTTATTTATAATTTTATCCTTGGAATTGATTTATATATTTTTTAAACTTAAACTTCACTCTTTCTTTACACTTGTCTTCAAAAGTTAAGAAATTTTAAAGACTATAACTTTTGAACCTATGATAAATTATTTATATTTGAATTCATCAGGTGACTATTTTAGATTTATTTTCTACTGTATATTCTATATTTTTTATTAAGAAGAAAGATTTTAAAATCTTTCAGAGGCATAAGCACTCTATTTGACACTTTTTTAATCTTACTTGACGGTTATTAATTAAAATAAGGTTTAATTGTTAATAAAAAAAGTATTCAAATTAGATGATTTTATTTGGCAATTATTAAGAAAGAACCGTCGAATAAAATCACATCATTTGATGGTTATTAATCAAGAATTGTTAAATATTCTTGAAATATTTGATGTGATCAGAGAATATTTGATGTGTTCTAATTTGACGGTTCGGTTAAATGTGATTAAAAGTAATTGTTAAATATTAATAACTAGGAAAAATTAGTGAGAAGGACCCAGAAAATATAATATTTAATTTAAAGGATCATAAAAATTATAATTATTTAAAAGAACCAGATAATAACATATAAATTTAAAATTACTCAATTGCCTCTAACCAAACCTCCTAAATTTCCTTCCACATTCCTTATTTCTCTCCCACATTCTGGTTAAAAATTAAAACGACTATGAATTTATAAGCTTTATTAAATTAAACAGTGTTTCTGTCAAATTTTGTAACTTACTTAAATATCTATTGTATTATTCAGTTAAAAAAAATTAGAATTTTATTTTTAGAATCAGCACAAATTTCGATTGAAATCAAAAGTTAGCCAGTTTTAGTAAAACTTGCGATTTCAAAAATAAAAAATACATATAATTTCAATAAAATAGAAAACAAATAATATATATATCTTTCATGTGAAATTTTGATTACGTCCGTTAGAATTTAGAAAATACTTGTGTATAAGCAAAAAAAAAATTGTCAATAAACATTTCCCCGTAATTAAAAAAATTTATGATAAATCACAATTAAAAAAAAGTAATAATGAGGTTTTTTGGGGGGATAATGCTTTTTTAACATTTTGATGCACCAATTATTAAGATATATATATATATATATATATATATATATATATGAAGTAGAAAATTTAACATCTTCTACATTAGTCTATTCTTTGCTTACAGGTTAAACTTTTTTGGGGCGTCCTCCCTTGTTATTTTTGTAAGTGAAATATACTTTTTTTCATCTTCATTTAAATCTTTTAATATTTCCTCTTATATTTATCACTTAAGTTTACATAGATAATTCTCACAAGATATAAAATAAGTTTGGTTTTGGTTTTGGTGGAAAGACGTTGGTAGACATTAATGTTGATAATATGAATTTAGGCAAAGAAACGTGATGATGAATAAAAAATTGATAAATACTAATGTTAATAATTAAATGAAATATTGATGATATAAATACCAATCTGGATGGGAGAAAGATTGAATTAATAAAGGATATATAGGGACATGGGGATGATGGGTGGTTTTGGTATTAGATTTAGTTTTTTAAGAAAAACTATAAAGATAGGACGTAATTTAGGAGGTTTTGTTAGGGGTAATTTATTATTTTTGAATTTATATTTTAGTATTTGGTCCTTCTAAATAATTATGATTTTTATGATCCCTTCTAGAAATACTATTTTTTAGGTCCTTCTCCCTAATTTTTCCTAATAATTATGCAGCATTGATTTTTATCACTTTGTCGTTTAACGCCTTCCATTTCATGTCCCATCTTCGCCTCTGCCTTTTTCCTTCTCCCTCTATACTCTATAAGCCAACTTCCCTCATTTTCCCTGTACATATAATTGATGAAATTAAAAAAGGATTTTTTTTAAAAAAAAAAGTGTGGCACATAGGTGTTTGACGTGCACAAAATTAGAATTGATATTAGAATCAATCAAGCTTTAGGGAATTTTTCAATCACTAATCAATATATTAATAAACCAGAAATCCACACTAAAAATTGGGTTCTGATTTGTCATGATAGCAAACAGCTTAATTTGATATTTAGTAATTAAATTCTTTCCTTGAGACTTTATAGTAATTATCTCTCTATTTTATTTTTGGGGTTACGGGAGGTCAATGATAGCACCAATGTAATAATAGTGTTGCCCTGAAATAAAAAATTCACCAGTATAATATACTCTAGATCAGAACAAGCACAATGGAGGTAAGGTGTCTCAGAAGTTCATAAGCGAAAAGAAATATCAGCCAAAGGGTCTCTCATAAGTTCATAACCAAAGAGAAATATCAGCCACAGTACCCTAGACAATCCCAGGAAATCATAGCAATAACAGAAATCAAAGAGAGAAATTCCGAAAGCAAGAAGGGGGGGGGAGAGGGGGACTACAACATGCTCCAGCACTGGTGACTCAAATGTGTTTGGTTCCTGTCGTGAGGCGTCGTCTTATAGTCTCTAAGGTATGCCATGACTGTGTACAAACAGCGAAGGAGATCGGTGATTTGTTAGTGTGGGAGCTTGGGCACAGTAATATGCATTTAAATCATGCTGCTGGGAATTCCGAAATGAAGAGGAGATCAAAAAAGAATAGAAAAGAAAAGAAAAGGCAATAGCGTGTAATTAGTTTTTGCTGTGAATTAACACTGACATGACTCTAAATATTGAGCATGAACCTTGGAGATGGTGGGTGTTTCAGAGGAGTACCTTTGGGTCCAGTATCTTCTTTTGCCCGCTGGAAGGCTTATAGGTTTTGCCCTTTTCTTTTGGGAACACATCATGGGCTTCGCCTGGTTGTTGGCCAGAACTGTGTACAAACGGCGAAGGAGATCGATGATTTGTTAGTTTTGGGGCTTGGGCACAGTAATATGCATTTAAATCATGCTACTGGGAATTCCGAAATGAAAAGGAGATTAAAAAAGAATAGAAAAGAATAGAAAAGAAAAGAAAAGGCAGCATCGTGTAATTAATTTTTACTGTGCATTAACATTGACATGACTCTAAATATTGAGTATGAACATTGTAGTTGATGGTGTTTCAGAGGAGTGCCTTTTCTTTCGCCTTTGTCGGAGTTCTGTTTCATTGATACGAAGGCTTGAGGAGGATTCCTGCTACAAAATGAAAACCATTAAGACGAGTGAAAAATTTAATCAAGAAAATAATCATTAATATTGGATTTGATCTCCCACCACCACATTGGTCTGTTCTTCCTCTTTTGAAGAAGAATGGTCGCCTGAGGATGCCTGCAACAAAATCAAAACCAATGACATGAGTGAAAAATTTAATCAGTAAAATAAACATTGATATTGAATTTGATCTCCCACCACTAGCTTGGTCGATTCTTCTTCTTTTGAAGAAATATGATGGCTTGAAAATTCCTACAACAAAATGGAAACCATTAATACAAGAGTGAAAGATTTAGTCAGCAAAGTCAACATTGATATTGGATTCAATGTCCCACCATCACCTTGGTCTGTTCTTCTTCTCCTGGAGAACTATGATCGTTTGAGGATTCCTGCAACAAAATGGAAACCATTAACATGAGTGAAAAATTTAATCAGCAAAATGAACATTAATATTGGATTTGATCTCCCACAGCCGTCAAGGACGAACGATCTTCTTCTTCCTCCATATTTTGTTGATTGCCTGAATCTAATACGTTTAATATGCTTTCCACGAAACTTGTCCAGTATTTTGGGGATGATACATCTTTATGAAAGTGATAACAAGTGTTCAGTTATTTAATGGGAGACTAGAGAAGTATATCAGTAAAGTGAATATTTATATTCCGTTTTGGACACTTACATTTATTGGCCAATTTTTCCCAGGTAATGGGTTGTGCCCTATATCTCCTTGCATCTTTAGGGGATCTTGTCCCTACAAAAAACAAAATCCAGAGGGATAAAATACATGTTAGTTCAAGTAACAGGTTTGATTGCTTGATCATGTTGCTGCAAAACTCAAATAAGACCTGCTCTACGTCTGTTAAATGTGCATCGCCATTTTGATTGGTGGAATCATGCTGTCTTCCTCTTTGTGTTGAGCGGAAAAGATAAAAGATGACCGAGCAGAGGACTATTGCAATCGGTGAGAGCAGCCGGTTGATTTTTGGAAATTGTGAGGCAAACAATGACAGGAAAAAAGAGGAGAAGCCAGTTTCAAATCCAAGCTTAGACTCCCTTGACATGGATATGGACATCAAGGAAAATGAACCATACGAGATAATGCTAAATACATCTGCTTTTCCAGTCTGAAGCATGTCCAGGATGGTGGAGGCTAAACATGTTAGACCAAATATCAGAGCTACCACAAGAGCACGGAGTCCTTTTGGAACTTCAATTTTCTGGGTTCGCCGTATGAGTATCCACACAATTAACCCGACAGACAGATAAATAACGAGACCGCCCTTACCCAACTTTCCGAATGACTTTTTGTAGATGTCGCCGAGAGCAAAGTAAACCAGGCCATTTACGGCTGACGCACTTGCCACAAAATCCCAAATCGTGCACTTAATTGCACAATCTCTCTGGTCTCTATCCATGTATCAGCAACAGCCTGAAGTTATGGGGAAAAAATATGCAGGCTAAGCTCAGCTAAAACATAACAGAGAATCTAATATGGGAAAAAGATCAAATGTGTTTTATTCCACACGAAATGCAAGAACAGGGTATAGCCAAGATTGTAGTAGGAGTTCTGTTACCGGCCAAAGAAAAAAGGATCAAAGAAACATACTGACCTCAACAAAATGCTCCCTCCCACGGTTCCCAGAATCATGGCGACCACAAAGGGATCGTAACGCGGCATAAGGGTCTTGGCAATTGGGATTGACGCGGAGAGAAACAGAGGAAGGAGCGGTAAAGGTCACACCTTGTTGACTCTGAATGCAGAAGACCATAAATGCATGTAAGAAATATTGACGCATAAGAATTCCTCAAAAAGTAGTCCGTGATGCGATGCAAACATAACCTTTTTTCCCCTCTGTTTCTGTAACTCCCCCAGATTCCCCTCTTTGGATCAGTGGCATCGTGTGTTACATGACATCTATCTTCTATTAAATGACTGAATATGTTTTGTTAGTTTCATACAGACGCAAGTCAAGATCATGTTCCATTAGGAAATTAAACACTAAAATAATTATGTGCAGCCGCCTTATGGCATTCTTATATATAAATTTTTTTTTTTACAGAAAGTATGTACATTTATGGAACAATTTATGAAAAATAACAAAATATGCGCGTGTATGGTTTAAAATTTGCAAGTTTAAATTTAGCCAAACATAAGTTTCTTGAAATATAATTTATATTTGAATATTTTATTTAAAAAAAGTCCGTTTTATTTTAGCATATTGCAACTTGTTTAGATATATGATAAGTTTTAATTATTTTAGTGTTTAATTTTAATAAGTTGTAACACCACTCATTCCTTCAAATCTCTGACCTTGGATCCGTCCATTGACTATATTAAATAGATGTAAATTTTGCATATATTATATCATATTGATAAATAATTTATATTCAATAAATTTATTTTATATATATTTTTAAAATTTAATTATTAGGATATAAAGTAAAATTCATTCATATCTTTTTATATCTTGTAAAATATAAAATATAATAGTATTGTTTCATTTTGCTGGAAATATAGAACGAAGGGGAAAGGTAAAAAAATGAAAGAGGGGTCATTAATTGTAATTCTCTGCGAAGTCTTTGAAAAAAAAACAAAGGAAAAAGGTGTTGATATAATCGGCATTTGCTTGTAAATTTTGCTGAAATAAAAGAGGAAAAGAAGAGGCAGTGGTGACAGTGGTAGTATGTGCTTTGACAGGCTAAACTGGTTCATGTCTTGAATGAGTTTTTAATTTGTTAAAAAAAATTGTCAGACATAAAACTCAATCGAAGAATTTGAAAACAACAGAGGGCAAGGCAAAGAAACGAGAAGAATACCTGGTCATAGATCTGAATAGGAAACAGGAGTTGCCGAGAATGTGAGACAAAAGGAAGAAAGACGGCCTCAAAATTTTGTTCAGCCTTGGGGCGAAGAGTCAGGTCAGCTAGCCACCGGCGAATAAGAGTGCACTTTTTGGTCATTTTATGGGCGGAGCAACTGGGTCGGGTTCACGTACGGACAGGTTCGAAGGCGACAGTTCTATTGGCCATGCATTGACGATAAGGGCGGTAACAAAGCGGGGCAGAGGACCACATGGAGCCACATGTATGGCAGGAGGTCTTCCCATTAACGTGGAAACCAAATCACCAGATTTTAGCCCGGGCTAAAATCAGGGATTTAAGTACAACTTAGTGAAGTGCGAATATACGTCTTTGCCTCTAATGAGATACACTTAAAACAACTGAGAGTTGCTCTATTTTCATTTGTAAACTCAGCTACTATTCGTACAAGGCAACAAGAAAGCTGAACGTCTGAATGAAAATCTTGGCTACTCCACTTGCATCAGGCGTTGGCAAACATTAACCGAAACTTCCAGCGTGTTCCTTCCCATTTACTCCTAATTTCGTATTCATAAGCTATCGTCGACCACCTTCCGCGTTCAATTTTTGGTGTGATTCTACTTTTCCGTTAACTTGATACTCTGTTGCTTTTTGTGTTCCATTGATGCTATTTGTGTGATTTGGGTGGTTACCATATGTTGTTTAATGGGTGGCCAAGAAAGACGAGTCTTTCCACAACAATAAGTGTATTTGTGTGCGTGTGGGTTTCCAGTTTTGATGACGGAAGAAGGATGAGCAAGTAGATTGTGTTAGTTGGTGTTTAAAACTAGGCATTCGGGAAAATGTAGTGACCGTGTTCCTCTCTTCTGCTTGCTGAGAAATTTTTTCCCATATATTCAGGGCCTGTTTGGATGTATCTTCAAACCATGGTTTGGAGACCTAAACCATGGTTTGGGGAAAATACCATCCAAACAATATCAAAAGATATGAAACCATGGATTGGGGTCAAACCATGGTTTGGAACCCCAAAACCATGGTTTCACCGAAAACAGTTGGGAGTTGCTTCTAACTTAAATTATTGGAACGTTTGGCATGGGTCCCATGGCAGATGACAAAACAATCCCCAATAATTGATGCCTTCAGCCCTTCATTCCTCGGTCCTTCGCTCTTCACTCTTCAGAACGCCTTCCTGCTGTGCTCTTTCTCCATTACAAGGATAATTTAATATTATGTTTTATAAATATATATATACACATATTAATTATTAATTATATTATCTTATATATTATTAATTATGTTAGTAAAAATTATTTTATTAACAATTTTATTTCTTCAAATCAAAATATATTATAAAATCTATTCCTTATATAATTATCATATTAACTTATGTCCCTTTTAGTAATTTGCATATGTAAAAAGTGTTTCTGGTAGTAACTATCCAAACACTCTCACTTCTCATAATCACTTTTTCACAGAATCTATTCTCCCCAAAATCTATTTTCCAAAAACTATTCTTCAAACCATGGTTTGGTTTCATCCAAACACCCCCTGAGTCTTACAACTTCATGGCTAGCATTTGAAATTGCCGTTGGTTCTGCTTCCTCATCTTCAGCTACTTATTGGAGCCGAATTTTTCTAAGAGGCACTTGCAAGAATCATTTGATATCAAAGGACTGATTTTGATGGGTAATAGAAACCGTTGATCTAGACATTGCATTCACCTTTATAATTCTTGGAGACTTATTTCCTGTTGCTTCATTGCTTTCGATGAAGGAAGTTAGTGTTACCGGGAAAGCCCATGCATTCAAATGGATCCATAATAATTGTATGAAACATAACTACGGCTTGAGAATCCCACATTCCATCATTTTCTGGACTGTAGACTTGTTTGTTATGATTATATAAAAAAATGTTTTATTTTTTAACCATAAATCCATTATTCACACTTCAGTTCATTTCTACCATAATAATTAAATATGATTGATATATTATGCCTGGCGTTCTATAATATTTATCCAAGCTTGCGAACTCTCACATAACCACCTAATAAAAAATTAAAATATCAAATTACTGATTAAGATAATAATTTTAAATAGTTATATAATATTTGCATAATATTTAAATATAATAATTTCTAATTTTCTTAAAAAAATAAAAAAAGATATTGTGCAAAATCAAAAAATCAATTTAAAATCAAATTGAATTTAGAATTTATCTTTTAACGAAAATTTTGAAACTTGCTTATTATTACATTCATGCTTTGTCTGTAGAATTTTGCACGGGTTGACTTTTATAAATGAATGCCAAGCACCTTTTCAAAGTTGGCTTGCGAAGGCCATTTCAGTTGCTTGGTATTGACCTAATGGTCAGCATCATATTTTTTTCAGTCGTGCATTCCTATGGGAACTGAAGGATTACATTGCATATTATGGTAGCCTTTTTTAATGTCCCGTGTTCTCTAGTCCATAAATCTGCTGCGATATTACAGAATAATATGGCTGCTTCTGCCATGCGACTGTGTAGCTATCTGTTTTATCCGTCTCAATCTCTCCGTGGGTGAACTCTTAACATGCATGTGTCTTTTGAGATGCAGGCTTTTACGAGACTCGACCGCATATTATGCATGGAGGGGTGCCAAAGGATACAGTTTTTCTGCCATTCCTGCTTATTAGGGCTGTACAATGCAACTCTCTTTCTTTTGATACCTGTTTGCTAGTCTTGTCTTAAATTATGGATTGGAAAACACCTTGTAGAAATGCAGTCTTCTTTCTCATGTGGTTCAATAACGCAGCATCCAGCTGAAAAATCCTATGTATAGCTTTCCAATTCCACTGGATTGGTTATAATTCCGCTTATCAAAATAAAACTGGGGGCATGAGGAATCCACAGAAGTGTAAAATTCATATAACTGCTTTCTAAGACCAAAGAGTGTTGATCTGTTTAATATGTTGACCAAGAAAATATGTGTTTAGTATGGGATTAACTTTTCCTCATGACCAGTGCAACAATAGGAGGAGCCAGGTCCATTGAATTCAGCAGTAGCCAGCCACCACAGCTCAAACGCCATTTCCACTCAAATACAGACAAAATAATAATTATCATGATAAATTATGCTTCCATATGCTTCCGTACGAACTTTGTATTTTGAATGCTCACTCGTGTCAGCGGGGGATCATGCTAGATAGACATTACCGAATAGCATCTTTCAAAAAGAGACATGAACATGAGGCTTCCATGAAACTAGTGTTTTCTGAATTACCCAAGGCCAATAAGCAGAGAATGACAAATCCATGGATATCTAAACTCGAGTTCGGAGGATAAGCAGTGTTTTCTTTTCTGGAACAACAAGGAATCCTTTTGAACTGCCTGTTATACTAGGAAGGTCTTGTATGTTGAATTTAATTTACCAAGTGTATGATAAAATACATGGACACTCTGGTGGACATTATGCTCTTGTTTAGGAAAGAACTCCTTACTGTATGTGATGATGTCCTCTCCCATTTGATGTCATTGAACAAATGAACTTATCAATTACAAGTTCAAGATGCTACCCTTCACAAGGTTAGAACATTACTTGTAATCTTGAATTGTTTCTGTAATTAAAATGAAAGGCAATTCAGAGCTTAAGAATGTAACTTCGTCTTGTTTTCCGGATATCAAATATACCTGTCCAATGCAGTCACAAATTTATCCTGCAAGTGATTTTTGTAATAACAATGCTAACTTCAATTTTTCATCTGGCCTTTTTTATTTGTGGCCATTAACTCCATTTATTGAACTTTTATCAATATTTGTCTAT